ATTTACTTTCGTTTACAAGTAAAATTAGTGCCTCTATATTATAAGATTTTATATATGATTAAGAGAGACCATTGTGACAAGATCTTCAAAGGGCCCTTAAAATCCTAGGACCGGCACTGATATGCACTCAGGTCAACCAGGTCGAATGAATCCATACGGGCGGCCAACCAAGCCGAGTGAGGTGCTCTGTTGTCAGCAAAAAAATTAAATAAATGTATTATCAAAACATATTTTATGAATAATTTAATAAAATTATATGAAACTGTTGAAGTTGGTAAATTTAGTTAAAATCAGATTTTTGGCACAGTGAACTATAATTATGACCCGAGGAAATAATATAGCATATGGGTATTCGGATACAAACATCATTTAACTTCTGTTAGTTTTACTATATAGTAATATGGCTTGTTTGTCTTAAAATCCGACTTGTTCTACTTTTTTTTAGTCGGAACAATGTTTTTCTCTCACGATAATTTAGTAGAATAATGTTTTGACTTAGTTTTTTCAGCCAAATTCAGCCAAGTGTTTTGGCTTCACCACCGCACTAAGTCTGAAACCTTCAGTAATTGTAAGACATAGTACTATCAAAGGCCGATTCACTTTTACGATAAACCGGATGTGGCTTATCTGGGAAATGATAGGTTTACTGGGGACAGTAGGCCTGCACTGCAATCTCAGTGCAGGACAACATTCGATGGTCACCTCAAGTTCGGATCATGGTGCGGGCCCCGCTCCAAAAGTCGGCACGACGCAGCAGTATAATACTGCGCGAGTGCGCCTGGTTTGGCGCTCGCAATGCTGCTTGCCTGCCTGCTGCTGCTGCTGGGCCGGCACCGGCTGGCCCCCCCTCGAGGCCTCGACTCTCGTTCATTGTGCTCGCCCGGGTTGGACGCAGAGTTGGAACACGGAACAGGGCTGCTGGCCTTGGCTCCGCTCCGTTCGGCGCTCGGTCGCACCAGACGCATGATGATATTTGACGGCGATGATGGCTTCCACGGCGGACCGACAGGTGCACGCCGACGAGGTGGAGTGTGCGCCCTGGGAGCGGGCCCCGGCCACGGGCGCTCGCTCGAGCGTCTGCCTGAAGCCGAGCTGGGATTGCGGTTACGAGGGCGCTACTGCCATGACTTGATGGCCTCTGCGCCTGGCCGCTCCCTTGTACGTCGATACCATGACAAGCCTCCGGTGCTTCCCATGATTTTATCGTCGCACGGGCTCGGATTACCCTCCATCCACCAATCGGGCGCCTCCAATCCAATGACGACCTGATGACGCCAGTGTTTTTCTCTCACAACACTTAAACGAACAGATCGTTGTGCCGTTGTTTTGTGTTGTGTAGCAATAAATCGCAGCAATAAACAAGAAGAGAACTAACATAGACGACATAACCTCAGCTACCTCCATTCAATACAATTCTAAATCTGATCTAAGTAATTAATTTTCTGCAACGCGCTTTGTCTAGACGGGTCTTTGATCTTATATTACAGACGCATTTTATACGTTCACGCGTCACTAGAAGAGGATGTCTGCTATTTGCTTTTGTTTTACATAGTGTAATCCAACTATTGTAACTTTGACTGAGGTTAAAAGAAATAATATCACACTTATGAAAATTATATGATATGATGATCTGTAAAAGGTCGCATAGGCCAGAACTGTTTAGAAAAAGATAGATCTAATAATACTTTTTAATATCATAAATATTAGTAATATTTTTTGTTAAAAATTGATCAAAACAAAACATTGTTTATTAATATTATAAATAGAATTGCATTATTTCCAGGACAAATGAGTACACTATAATTAAAGAATAGAGATGAGGAATTTGTTTCTTTAGATAAGAAACCATGTCTACGTGAGAACCAAATAAAAAAATATGTGACAGGAAGATGTTTAAGAAAGAAGACACGTGATTGGATAAAAAAATATTTTATCTATTAAAAACATAGTTTATCTACGTAATGTCTAAATAAATTAATTTGCATGGAAACTTCATGTGATTTTTAGTATCAGGACTGCCCCGAGGGAGTAGCAGTAAAGAGATCGGCACATTTAAAATTCCCCAGTGTTTATTCAAAAATGGACCGGCAGTGTTTCACTCGTTCCAAGCACATACCGGAGTTAGTAGGGAAGTAGGAGTATTTAGGGCCTGGTTCCAAATAAGTCATCTACTTATAAGTTAAAAAGTGAAAAAAGTGACTTATTTTATCAAACACCATCAACTTATAAGTCACATTTGCTTATAAGTTTTAAGTTGGTTCACCCCTACTTAAAACTTATAAGTCACCTTTTTTCGTGTGGGGCCCACACCTTTAATAAGCTTATAAGTCATCTACAACCAAACAAGGCCTGACTTATAAGTCACTGATTTTCAATCACCTAACTTGATAAGTCACCTGACTTATGAAAACCAAACGTGCCCTTAAACCGAGCGCGTATCGTACAAAATCTCTCGAACTAGGTACTACTAATAATCCCATCAAAGATGAACACGACGGAAATTGCAATGTCATGTACCTGGAAACCTGCAAATTGCAGCAGGGGAGGAGCAGACAGCACGTGGAGTACAATTCGGACGAGCAATCTCGCATGTCCGGTGGTCCACCGCCAGCAGCCTAGGTCGGTTCAGCTCCCGCAGCATGATGGCTGCCCCCGGACGCCGCCCTGCTCCTGCTGCGTTTGCGCGGCCCTACCGCCCAGCGTCCATAGGCGCGCATCGATGGCCCCAGGGGCACGCGCGCAGCGCCGCGGCGGGGCCCGGCACCAAACACAGCATCCCTCCGCCGCCAGCGCGCTACCCCCACGCGCGCAGCATAATGCCTCTCCGCTCACGGCAGCGTGCATGCGTGCCGCTGGTTGCTTGCTAGCTCGTCTGCCTTGCTTCGTGCTCGGGAAGTTGGGATGGATTGCTCTGCCACGATGCCCACCTCCATCGACCCGATTCCTATCGACGATGCCGAGAACGATTCCCTTCTCTCTGACGCGTGGGGCTCTCGTGCCCGGGACCCGCGGATCATCGGTTACAGAGATGGGCTAGATGGTTTGGCGGGGACTCGGCGTTTGGGGGAGGAGCACGGTGGGAAGCGGCACGCGCACCCACAGCACCCATCGAGTGCGCACGCCACCTCATTAGTTCGGCTCCCGCTTCGCGCCCCATCCATCCGTTGGCATCACTGCGCTCGGCACTGCTGCTCGCTTCGCCGCTCCACCTTCTCCTCCTCTCTCTCTCTCTCTCTCTCTCTCTCTCCTCTCTCTCTCTCTCTCTCTGTATCACGCACAAAAGAAGTGCCGCGAAAGGAAACGAGGGTGAGAGGGAGGGGGGAGGGACCAATCGGAGTACGAGCATCCAATCCACCACCGCCCGCTTGCTGTTCATCCGTTATATAAAACCTTGTGCCCCTCCTTTGCCGGCTCAGTCCATCCCTTCCAGTCCAGTCCCGTTCCATTGCTCACCCTCCGCCGGTGTCAGTCATTTCATTTCAGAAAGAAAACCTTGATTGGTATGGTCTTGATCACAACATACTGGTTCTTCGATTTCCAAGTGCTTCATCAGAGCTGATCGTTTGGCACCGTGTATAGGCGGAGGCGAAGGAAGCAGGCGGGCAGGATGCCGTGGGTGGTGACCATCGTGCGGCTGGTGGTGTTCTTCTGCGTCACCCTGTGACCTCGCGCCGCTCCGACCGTGTGGCGATCGCGAGGTTGACGCCTGCTTGGCACCCCGGCGATACCACCGTTTGCTGAGGAGGGCATGTGTTTTGGGTTTAACCAGAGGAGGCTTGACGCCGTCGTTATGACAGGTGGCGCTGTCGCGTACTACTGCAGATTGATGCAAGTTTGCCAGGTCAGCGCCCTGACGCCAACAACGCATCAACGATTCAGGTTTCCTTCCGTTACATTGCTCAAATTTCAAATGTTCTTGGCATTGTCTGCTGTAAGCATCGGATCGTCGTCTGTTCATATGGTGCTGTCCGTTACGACTTACGACTAGTTAGACGGGAAAGCGATCAGGGTCCACTACGTGGCGGCCCTCGACGTCAACGATGAAGGCTAGGACAGCGTGTTGACAATGCTTTGCGCAGTCAAAAGATGGCGTTTTGAATTTTGAAGAAATTTGTCAACTTTTTGATACTATTTGTATTTGCCAAAAGTTGGAGCAAATAACTTAAGGTTTGTAGGCTGTAGTCTTATCTTTGCAATGGTTTTGGAAGCAGAGTTTTGTTGTGCCACCAAAATGAAGAAGATCCAAATTCGTTTCGTTTTGAAAAAAAAATAGTGGTTGAGCCTTGTATCTCATTTCTGAATGCGTTATCATAGCTCTTCTGTTGCCTTAGTTATATATGTCATTGCATAATACTCTGTTCTTCCTCTCTGCTACATTCTGGCACTTCTTATTGACTGTGACTGCCTATGATAAGCTAATTTATGTGTCGTCCAGCATAGCTAGCAAAACTGAACATATATTGTAACTAACCTTAACAGGTTTAATGCTTGCTTTAGGTTTCGCTATAATATCTTCTTGCACTTAGCTAAACAACTTGCCAAATTGATCTAGCCTCTTTGTTTTCTTGTCTCACCGCGCAAGCAGATCCTTCTCCAAGTTTGCCACATCAAAGGGTATTTCATCCGATTTTTTTTTTTTTTGTAACCAATAACTTTCTTATTTAGGAGTAAATTCGAAAGATATACGTTGCTACATGTCATGTAACATTCTAATTTGTTTTCGATTGATCACATCTTGCAGGCCGAATACTTCCGCCAGCTTCTGAAGCCCGTGACGTAGATTCTGCCATCACTCCCCACCCCACCCCTCATTTCAAACAACCTCAAACCCAAACCAAACTAACCGAAACAATTTTGTATTCAACCACAAAAATAGCCAGCTTCCATCCTCAGTTCACAACAATCTCTCGAATTTGTTCATTTCTTTCCAACCAAAAGCGAAAAAGTTCCTAAATTTCCCACACAGGCCAGAAATCAAGCAACACTGCACGAGTGCCTCGATGCAGGGAGATCCTGGGTACGGGTACGGTAGCTACGGCTACGGCTACGGCTATGGCTACGGCTATGGCGCCGGCGCCGGTGGCTACGACTGCGACATGGCTGGCTACGGTGGCGGAGGCGCCTACTATTCGGCGAACGACCGGTACCCTGCCGGGCCGGCTGCCTATGAGGACCCGCTCGCTGGTCGGAGGCAGCACGACTTCCCCGCGCCGCTCACGGGGCTGGAGTTCCAGCCGTCGGACAACTGCCCCAAGAACTACGTCATCTTCGACCAGACGTACGACCGGAGCCGGGTCATGTTCCACCCCTCCCTGGCCAACAACTTCGGCTCCTCTGCTGGAGGATACGACTACGATCGCCATTGCTACGGCTACGAGCAGAATTACGCCGGTAAGGGAGCCTACTACGGCTGCGGCGACGATGGCGGCGGGGCCTCGATCCGGCAGAAGGAGGACACCGACGACATCGACGCCCTCATGAGCACGGAGGACACCGACGAGATCGACGCCCTCATGAGCACGGAGGACGGTGAGGACGAGGACGACGTGCTCAGCACGGGCCGCACGCCTGGGTGCCGTGCCGGTGGCTCCCCGGATTCTACATGCTCGTCCGGGTACGCCGCCGGCGGCGGTGGCGGCGGGAAGCACGAGATGTGCGGCGGAGGCGGTGAAAAGAAGAAGGAACGGATGAAAAAGATGGTGCGGGCGCTCAAGGGGATCATCCCCGGTGGCGACCGGATGGACACGCCAGCCGTCCTCGACGAGGCCGTGAGGTACCTCAAGTCTCAAAAGGTGGAGGTCAAGAAGCTCGGCGCGCGCGGGTCAAGCAGCTAGCTAAGCTAGTATCAGTATCAGTATGTGGCAGCGACCAAAACGGCAGTCGACATCTCTCTCTACCTTTCTCGGCATCGGCAGATGCGATGAGCCGGTGAACAATACATGCGGTGATGATGACAACGACAGTTTCTCATCTTGGCATCAGATGCCACGTACCAGTTGGTGCGTGCTCTGTTTGCACTGACAGGATTGGCTTCGGAGAGAGCTCGACTGCAGCGCGCTTTATTTTATCGGCATCTTGTGGTGGCTCCACCTTTAGCCTCAAGCGTTCGTGTGTGCATGGCTTGTTACTTTTCTTCGTTAGATAGAAGTTGCTGCCTTTTCCTCTTTCGTATCTCTTCATACCTAGTGGCTGGTGTTGTAACTATCACGCTGATGATATACACCGTGTTTTTTTTATCTTGGGCACTGCACTTTGCAGCCATCTTCTTAATTCTTTTGAGTGCCTGATCTCGGATGGAGCATTATTAAAAGCTATAAGTTTCGGAATGTTTCTTAATTTAAAGTGTAGTTACCAAAAGTGCTAATTCAGCTTTACATATGAATGAAATTAAATAGTCCATCTCAGTGCACGGTTTCATAACACAGTTTCATAGGCTAGACGTATGATCAAATATAGCATATGGAATATACAACCATGAAATTTCATACAATTCATTGCTAATCTCGCGCAGAAGATCCTCATGTGCGCCAGAGAATGAAACAAATCAATCGATGTTTCATTGCATTTTATTGTGTTGGTAAACGTGATGGATGGGTTCATCCTAACAAAACTTTATTTCTCTTTCCTCATAAATACCAAGCTCACTAAGAAAATTTGTTGATGTATTGTATCTTTAAATGAGAATGAAACTCGTGAGATATATTGATGAATGAAAAAGTACCAACGTATTGCTGATGTTATGTAAAATTCATACGTGGGATTGGATTTTAGAGCAAGGAGGCAATTGTGAATAGTTGTTGGTTTATGCTCTTCAAGCGTCTCACATTCCCTACAATGCATTAGTATAGTGCCCGTGCTAACGCCACATCTTCATTTCAGAGATGCGCATGAAAACAACCAAACGACGATATTCTTTTTGCATAGAAAGTTTCACGCAATTGTATAGGACCATGTATATAATCCAAAAAACACTCATGCATATCTGCAGCACGAGTTTGTTGTCCCAGGACATGTTTCTGTCTACTAATCGCATACCTTAGTGTTCTGTATTTTACCACCAAACGATGAGTACCTCATATGGATCATCGACATATTTAACATAAAATAAGACAGACATATATACGACGAACATAGTCATATTTGCCACAAGGTAAACTTTCAGAATGAATTTTAGATGAAGTTCAGGCTATCCCCTAAACTACAGCGCTTGAAAAGTATTTCTCTTTGTACAGCCATCTCCTAGATTAATCTTCAGACAAGTGGTCAAAAAGAAATCATCTTCAGGCTGCGGAACTAAAGAATTCTTCATCTCTGGAATGTCTGATGCTTAATACTATGTAGCAGTCTTGTGCTTGTCGAGCAGTCTCGTGGAGCATGCGTTTGAGGTAGTTTTCTGGTTTGGTTTCTCACACATCAAAAGGAAAACAGTGCTCTCTAGCTAGTTGCACCTGTGTGAACAATCATACTGTAAATGCTAGAAACAAGATAATTGGAAAGTGAAGTATTCCATCTAGTGATCAGTGAAATAACGGATAGTTTTTTTTGAAAATGAAATAACGGTTAGTTAGCTAGACCTATCTAGCACACGTATGACAATTACATCCTAAAATCTAATCTATATGCCTGCAACAGCAAACATGTAGAAATCAAAGGAAATGGGTCAAGTATGACTCACCATCTTATGGCAACTTGAACAATTAACCAGAAATTACATTTTTTATATATAAAAAGTGGCCCATCTGGACATCGCACTGTATGAGCTGTTGCATGAAAGAAAAATTGTAACTTATTGAGTATCCAGTTATCTTTCCTAAATACAGTCCAATTTTACACAAATTAGATTAAGATATCTTACACTTACCAGACAGTGAACAACATTAAATGCGTTAACTTTAGCAGCATTTGTCGATGGATAGCAAGGTATCTGATCTAACATGTGCAATAAAAGAAAGGAAATGACTACTAATGTTCTTATACCTAGCATAGAAAAACAAATGTTTATACCTGGTACTAGTGCACGGATCATAGGATGTGGGCAAAATTGCCCAGCCATAGGAACTGATGAGCAGTTCATTGAGTCCGACACCGGCAAAATTCAGTTAAGTCAACAGTGTGAACAGACATGCAAATTGGCAGTAGCCTCTCCCCCAATCCTACGGAGCAAAAGCATCGATTCAGTGAATCTATTTGAACTGTTGACTTGTGAATATGTGAGTTAATCTCTGAATATTTGACACAATGCAAGTCATGTCAATCTTTCCGGTTGTTGTTAGCACATGGATCAGGGACATAAGAAATTACAAACAAATTTGAACTCACCTGCAGCCTTGATTTGACAGAGACTGAGTCCTGGTTCAGAACGGTTTTGGATTTTGGATCTTTCGCATGAACTTTGTGCCACTTTGGATGAAGATGGCGGTGAGCCACGCTATTAAAAACTGAGACCACAGACTACAGTATATATGCCACACAATTGAGAATCAGAGAGAACTAAATTGTGTTGATCTTCCATGTAGTAGACAGAGAGGCTTCTGTATTTGCAAAAACATCAACACAGGTGGAAAATAAAAAGAGATTTGAAAGCTTGGGATATACCTAGAGATCTATATTTGAATAGGAGTGCTCGGAAAGTAGCTATTGAAGTGACTGAACCGTGACTAGGGGCTCTTGGTGGGTTTCAACTCTAGCCTACCCCAACTTGTTTGGGACTGACAGGCTTAGTTGTTGTTGTTGTTGTTGTAATGATTAGAAAAGATAAGCAAGTAGCTTTTAGTATTCTTTTATCTTCCCTATACTGAAATTCCGTTTCATTGTAGTGCCAGCATTACACAGAAATAGCACATTCCTAATGTAGGGAAAAACATCCAGACAGGTGGAAAGAAAAAAAAAAAGAGTATTGTCAAGACAAATGCAACAAATCAGTTAACGCACAGTAGCAAGGGCACATCAAAAGTTTTGTAGCATGCCCCCTGCAAACTTAGAAGCACTCAAGCACAGATGATAACACTGTAAGGCAAAGTACATACAGCTGAGCATTTAACACCCCCAACTCCCAACCACTGCATAGGAGGGCCACATGCAACTAATAATATTATAATTCTGATTGGCAAGGTTCACTTGAATATTAATTTCTTGTGCTTATTCTAAATACCTTAAAATCATATCCGAGCAAATATTTCCCAAATGTTTCAATGTACACTACCCAGCATACAACTAAGCACAACAGCTCTTTATATTGATAATACACAGGAAAGTTGCATTGCATATTCTTGAATTAAGCAAGGAATAAAAATGCAATATCAACAGTGAAGATATGCAGTCTGCAGCAGCAGATGTATTTGCACCCTACTTTTCATGTACATTTGTAGCTTTGCCAGTACAATGGTATTGTCCCAGTATAATTCTAAGAGAACCGACAAACATGTAGCATTAGATGCTATCAGTATTCTTAACAGTTTACAAGAGGCTGACGCAAGTTAATTGATTTAACATAAACTAATGCCTGCCCAAAAAAGATTTATACATGGGTCTTTAAATAAGCTTGAGGGCAGTAGTACCATGAAACAAACGACGCTATCAGGCTTGTCGTTGATGCTACAATTTTTTACAAAAGATCAAAGATTAACAAGTAATGAAATAACTGGAGGAAATTCCTTACTGAATCAACTGTCATGTACTAACATTTGTCTTCCATATCAGAAACTTATGTACTAAATCGTTGCAAAAAACACTTCACAGGAAAATCATCAATCAACATTATTAAAGTAAAAACGTATAGTTAAGAAAAAGAGAAGGGGCAGACCTTTCTGCACCTCAGGCGTCCTCTGGTGTACGACTCCTCCTTTCCCGCTTCTTCTGCAGCTCCTCCTCGGAGGGGCCGCCCTCGACGGCGGCGGCGGTGGCGACGTCGTCGGCAGCGTCGGCCACGTCAGCGACGGAGAAAGGGATGGAGCCCCAGTCGGCGACGCAGAGGACGGAGGTAGGGCGCACGTGGAGCAGCACGACGACGTCATCGGGGGCGAAGGTAGTTCTTCACAGCCCACTTGACGGTGAAAAGATCGACGGCGATGGGATGCGGCGGTGCGGGGAGCCCGGGTTGGTCCCGGCCAGCGAGGAGAAGAAGTGCGGGGAGGCCTGGATCGCGGCCCCCTGCGTCGCCGCTGACAGCCGCACAGACGCCGCCCCGCGCAACCCTAGCCCCGCGTCCGGGCGCCGTAGCCGCCCCCCGCGCGCCGAGAACCGTGGTCAGGCGGGCTGCGGCGGCTGGCCGCGTCTGGCGGCGGGGTTCTGGGCGGCGACCGGCGGGAGTTTCGGCCAGGCGGCCTGCTCGCCAACGTCGTCGGGGGTCTGGGCCGGGGGCGGCAGTAGATCGATCTGCTGGATGGCGGCGTCCGAGCAGGAGTTTTTTTTTTTTTCGTTTTTTTTTTTTTCGCACTGACGGAGGAGGGTGCCTGGGTGCTTTTTTTTTTTCACGTACAGCAGGTTTCGATCGCTGATGCCGCGCGTTGGGGCAGGCAGGCTGCTGCGGTGCCGCGCGCGTTGAAGCCTGAAACAATCGTGGCCACAGGATCGTGTTTGAAGCCTGTGAGGAGTGTGCATGAGACCTTGATTTCTACGAAGACAGATTCGTTGGCTACACTTTTATGGCTGCAGAATGGTTGGACTCTCTTAGTGTGACATAATTGTAGATGAACTGAGAATAATTTAGATTAATCCATTATAGTAGAAATATCTAAGATCTATAGGTGTAAACGGTGTCTATATTTCTTGACTAACCAAAGGGCCTTCATAGCCACCTTGCATTCGCTCTTCACGACTCTGGTCTTCTTTATAA